CACTGAGGGCACGTGAAGCCAGGGGCACGCGGGCGCGTCAGGGCCCTCCACCAGGAAGCCCACCCTGCTGTGCCAAACGCGCGCAGATTCCTGGCTCCCCCGCCCGACCCAGACGAGTTTACGCAGCTCACACGGCCAAGGCTGGAGATCCCACGCACGCAAAATGGGCCGAGGTTTGACCGACTCCCTCGCTTTTATGTGAAGGAACTTATTTGACACACAAGTCCACAGATACAGCCAATGCCACTGTGGCCAGAGGAGGCCTCCAGAAAAAATCTATTCCATGCACAGGGCTGGGAAAAAATAGAATCTTTCGACCACAGTCTTAAAGATCAAACAATCGTACTTTCAGATACTCTAACGTGGCTAGCATGAGGTTTCAAGTAGCGAAAGTTTTATTTCAATGTTATCCGTAGGGCAAATTAATTCCAGAGCCAGTCCACACAGTGGTGGGGCCCCATCGTGGGACGGTCGATAGATTTTTTTTTTTTTTTAATTAGCTGAGATCACTGATCAGGCATCAATAGCTACCAGGCAAAGCGGTAACAGTCAATAATTACAAACAAAATAATGGAGCTCGGTCTTGGTTCACCTGGTACATGAAAAAACGTGCTTGTTTCATACGTATTTCTAATTAGCTTATCGGACCACCACGGTTGGCCTGCGAGAGAACCGATGTTACTTTCATCTGCGTTCCTCTGAAATATCTGCCCAGGTGTCAAACTCACAAGGCTCACAGACACCCACTTACTTTACCTTCAGCGAGAGCACGCGGAGGTTCGGGGGCGACGCGCCCGGGGCCCGGGAAGCTGTAGGCACTGCTGGCCGTGGCCAAGGGAAGGGGGCTCTTCGGGTGGCACTGCCTGAGGACCTGAAGCACCATGGAGGTGACGGGTTCCAAGCTTCTGTCCTCCAGGGAGCTCTGCACAGGGGGAGAGCGGGTCGGACGCTGCACCGCAGGCCGAGCCTCCGCGGGGACAGCCTCCCAGGTAGCGAGTTACAGGCGGCTACGCGGACAGTGAACACCCTTGACGCAGAGCGTCCCCCGAGAACGTGGCCGAGCGGGATTTCAGTCTAGCGTAGGCTCGGCTTGGGTCTCGCGTATAAATCTGAATTTCTATTTCTCTTTCACGGCTCCTGTGTCGCCGGAATGGATTCAGTCTGAACACAGACTTAATCGTCTTCCGGGGGAGGCTGCAGCCGAGGGAGACGCGGTCCAGGGTGGCCGGGGGCCGGCAGGGAGCACCTCCTTCAGCCGCCCGAGCGGCACCGGGAAGGATGCCCCAGGTTAGGGAACGAGCAGCTGAACTGATGGAAGACTTGCTTCCCCCTTTCAGCCGTTATCCAAAGAGAAATCTACAAAGGTTATGGAGCCAGAAGAAAAGACTAAGCGAACCCCAAGCATGTAAATTGAAAGTCAGGCCGCCTCTCAAAGCCCACGGTATGGGCCTCTCTTGGGACCCGCCCACAGCAAAGAAAAAGTGGGTTTTGCAGATATAACATTTTGATATTGATGGGACACGGCAAGGCCCCTTTTTTCAGACACTGTGACGAGTGTGGGAACAAGTTTACTAAATTGAGAGAGAGAGAGAGAGAGAGAGCTGGGAGAAGTCTGGTTATGTCCTCGGCAGGCGGGGGAATGGCCACTTTCTTTAGTCTCTTACTAAATGTTTTGTCTACTGACTTGGTCCAGAAAGCTGACTAGCGTGAGCCTAAGGGGTTTCTGGAAATCTCCGAGGCCTACAAGTCACAGGCGTAGGCAGTGGGGATGCTGAGAACTTGCCACAGGGCAGAGTGGCCACCGTGGGGAGGTCCCAGGATGGTATTGTCAGCCCCTCATTACAGGCAGCTCCCCATGAAAGACCAGAAAGAAAAAAAAACAATTGCCCGGCCGGGCGTGGCTCAGCGGTTGAGCGTCGACCTGGGATCCAGGCGATGGGGGTTCGATTCCCGGTCAGGGCACGTGCCCGGGTTGCGGGCTCGATCAATAACTCTCTCATCATTGATGTTTCTCTTTCTCTCTCCCTCTCCTTTCCTCTCTCTGAAATCAATAAAGATATATTAAAAAAAAAAAAAAAAAAGAACATTTAACAAAAACTAAGCCGTAAATTCAAGCCACCCAGATGACTCCGAAATATGATCAACGTAAGCCGACTTTCGAAACAGAGATGTCTCAGCGCCATCGAGAGGCTCTCCCCCCTCCGTGGGCTCCCGTGGTGCCAACCGGGCGTCCTGGGCCATCCGCAGGAAAGAGTCTCGGTGGAAAATGGACTGGTTGGGGCTTCGTCGCCTCTGGGGCTCGTCAAGGCGATTCCGAGGGCTGAGCGGAAAGCGTGGGTGTTCGGAAGGAGAAGGGCGGCCGATGGGCAGCTGGCACAGCTGCAGTGACCCCTGCGCACAGCCGGGGCTGGGCTGTCCTGCGACGAAGGAAACCCGGCCGCGAAGAGCGGCTGCTGCCCCCGCCCACGTCCAGCGTCCCCTCCACGCAGCCGCGGCGGGCCGGGCACGTGTCCGTTTGCTCAGTCAGGCCGCCGAGGTCTCCACTGGCCGGCTGGGGAACGGATTCTGAGGTCCCGCGCCCGGGCTCACCGCCCCTGGGCTTCCCTCGGCACGTCTCCCCCCGCACCCCAGGCGTGTGCCTCTGGGTCCATCCTCCTCTTCTCCCGTATTTCCCTTCCCGTTGCTTCTTAACACCGAGAACACAGAGGGCCGAGGAAGCCGGCGGAAGCCCAGGGCGGAGTGGGGGGCTAGCAGGGCGTCCGCAGTGCAGGGCGTCCTTCACTAGGCCTGGGAGGGATTAGGGGTTTGGGGGCCACCAGCGCACAGAGTAAAGCCCGGAAAAATCCAAAGCACCGCCTCCTCCGGGGACTCGACTTAAAGCGGAGGGGCGACCTCCAGGCCGAGCGGCTCTGAGAGCTGCAGCGATGGAGAGAGACCGGAGGCGGCGGCCGGTAGGTCGGACTCCGGGTCGCAGCCCAGTGCTGTGTTGTTGTTTAGAGGAGGAGGGGAAGCTTTTTTGTGGGTTTTTTTTAACTGGGAAAACTCTACAGACACCACGGATGGAAAACGGCACCCGTCGCGACGGCTTCACGGCCTCGGGGGTACCCAGGCAGGGACAGACTGGGCGTTGTCCAGGCAAAAGCAAAAAGACTGATGGGGGGAGAACAAAGGCTAATATGCAGACAGACAGATAGACAGCAAGGGGCAGGGTGTGTGGGAAACACGGCCGCCCTGCCCCCAGGACGGGTGAGCCCACGGCAGACACCGGGGGACCGTGGCGTCATCGACAGACGCCGGTCGCCACTCGCACAGCGGGGTTCAGGCCTCACATCAAGGGAAACGGGGGAGCCTGTTGTCTGGGCTGAAACGCAGGGAGCCGTACACGGTGCCCGGTGGGGCGCAGGGAGCAAGAGACCGGCAGGTGCTCCTCCTCCCGGGGCCTCGGCCCGGCTGCCACCCGCCCAGACCGGACCCGCCAGGAGGACACCTCCTCCCGCCACCCGCGACCTCGGGCCTGACCTGTCAGAGCGCGCGAGGAAACGCCCTCCTCACGCGTCTGCGCTTCCCTAGGGACTGGCTCTCCTGCCAGAATGTCTGCCCCCCAAGGTCGGGGTCTGGCCGGCCTCCGTCACCTCTAGATGCCGCAGCGCTGGAGGCACGGGCCGAGGAGCCCCCGCTCCGCTCAGGGCGAGCCCCAGACGCGGCCTTGGGGAGCCATCCCGTGTCCTGGGGCAGCGGAGCCCCGGCGCCGCTCACCTGCGTGGTGCTGAACAGGATCTCCATGCCCCGGGCCGCCAGGAAGGCCTCCCTGCCCGACTGCAGGGCGGCGATGTGCCGGAGGCAGAGCAGCAGCGCCCGGCGGATCGGCAGGTAGCTGTTGGCCGTGTCGTGGCTGTGCCAGTCCCGGTGCAGCCCCAGCAAGCTGGGCACGTAGCCTCTGTTCACCGCCCTGCGGCTGGTGGACTCTGAAACCAACGGGAAAGCCAACGTCGGTCCCGGGCTCTCCCGGGCGCACCGAGGACGCTCGTTAACTACAAAGGAAACTGGGGGGCGTCACCTCAATCGAGGGATCAAAGCGCATCGCCAAGCCCTGCCTGGGAGCTCAGCCGGTCAGAGGATCGTTCCGATACGCCAAGGTTGCGGGTTCAATTCCCCGTCAGAGCCCATGTAAGGACCAACCAATGGGCCCGGCCGGGCGTGGCTCAGCGGTTGAGCGTCAACCTGGGATCCAGGCGGTCGGGGTTCGATTCCCGGTCGGGGCACATGCCCGGTTGTGGGCTCGATCAATGACTCTCTCATCATTGATGTTTCTGTCCCTCTCTCTCCCTCTCCTTTCCTCTC